ATAACATGTTTAAATGAATCAATTATTCTTTATGGAGTTGAAAAAAGAAATAAAAGTGAATATTCTCCTGGATTTAATGAAAATAGAATCATGAGATTTCCTGAGAAGAAAGAAAGAAGTTGTTCTTATTTAAGTTCTCTTACTACGTCTAAAGAAGAGATTAGAAAAGTAATAGTTTCTTCAAATGGATTAGTGTCTGTTTTTGTATATACTAGTAAAATTCAATTTTGGGAAAATAAGAGTGATTCATATAAATTAGAACCAATACATATTAATATTCAAGTTCATTGTATTGTTCCAATTAAAGATAAAATAAATGAATGTTCATTTTTATGTACAAGTGATAAAGATATATTAGTTATTAGATATAATAAAGGGAAAGCTACAAGTGAAAAAATATATACTCATTCATCAAAAATACGTGTTCTTTCAAATTTTTCAGAGAATTTATATATTTTTGTTGATAGTAAGAATATTATCTATAATGTTGAAATAAATCAACTTCAAAATAATAAGGTTAATGAATTTGATAAACGTTCTCCAATACATGAAAAGATTATTAACATTATTCCATGTCCAAAAGAAGAAACAAAAAAGATTGGAATTATCACACAAAATCAAAATTGTTTTATTTATGATTATTCTACTGGTCGTTTAAATAATGATTTCAATGTATTTCTACAACAAAGAAGAATTAAAGTTATTGATATGTGTTGGGTCAAAGGAGATATACCTGTTGTTTTAACTCATGCAAAACAAGTTATGATTTATTCTCCAGAAGAAGAAAAAGTAGAAATGAAAGATAATTCTCAAACAACACCATTACATCTTCTTCCATCTAAAATATTTAGAAAAGTAATGAGTATTATGTTACATGGATTTACAGAAGAAACAATACTTTCAAATATAATTAATAAGTATCATATGAATATTGATTTTATTACAAATGAAAATGATAAACAAAAACTTTGTGAAGGAATATGGATAAAAACAAATACTATGAAAAATGAATATAATGAATATATAACAATAATTAATAAAACAGAAATAACATTAATAGAACAATATATTAAAATTACAGAATTATTAAAATATCCACAACTTAATGAATTTTGGAAATTAACAAATAAATGTATTCAACAAGCAAAACAAAGAGATAGTAATGAACAATATCAAAATATTATTCGACAAAATAATAAATTATTTTTAAATGATAGTATAAAAGTTAATAAACGAATTGTACCACAAATTAAAGATGTTGTACCACCACCATATGGATTATATCCTGAATTATTTGTTGATACTAAATTAATTGATGAAACAGAAAAATTAAGATTAGAAAAATATGAAATTGCAATCCAAGAAGATGAAGAAATAAATGATGTTGAAAAAAGTTGTAAAGTAAATGAATTAGAATTAGTCTTTGGTACTGATTGTTCAATGATTGGTAAATATATTGATATGTTGAAAAAAACACAAAAAATAGAATATGGATTATGTGCAACTCTTTTTGCATCTACAACTCATCCTGACTTATTAGAAAATACAATAAATGATGTCATTGATGAATTATTAAATATTAGACATGAAGAAGAAGCAATTCATCTTCTAGAAAATATAGGAAATTATCAATCAGCTTGTCAATTGATGATTCAAACAGGAAAAGTTTTTCAAGCAGCTTATGCATCAACAACTTTACTGCCATTGGATAAAACAGTACCTTCAATTTATATTCCTTATGTTGTTCAACAATTAGGAAAAGGATATTATATTCCAGCAGCAATTAATTTAATGAAAGTAGGTGGATTTATTGATGCAATCAGAATTTTATTAAAAGGAAATTATATCGAATTGAGTGCATTATTACTTAATGTATTATTAGCAGAAAATATGGTAAGTCTTGATGAACAAATTGAAGTCAATTTAAAAACAATTATATTTCAATCACCAATTAATGTTACAACTTTTAGAGAATTATGTCGTGTGGTTTATGAAAAGTACATTTCAATATTATTGAATGACCTTGAAATTCCTTCATTAGCAGAGTTTTATTCAATTAGATTGAGACTGTTAGACTAAGTAGTTTAATTTTGTTATTTATCTCAAATAAATGGTTTTTACAACAAAAAAAGAAGATTAAGAACTGAATTTGAAAAGCAAATTTCTTTTTTTTTTT